AGGGAAAGAAAGACTGAGAACTACTTTCTATCAAAGATGTCTGTCAGTGTGTCCATTATTATAGTGAGCATATGTCAGGATGTTGCTCTTTCTTTTTTGAGATAAATTTAAGGGATATTGATGAAAGCCAAGAGGAAGTTTGACTTTTTTCTATCTTTCTCTATTTCTATATCTTGTTTTCAGATAAATCTTCCAATGGATTCCCACCTGAACCTGATCCTAATTCCAGAAACACAAAGCCTGGATTCTTTGTGTTCATTGCGTTTATTCTGTCTTTCCATGAGCTAAGGCTGTAAATCCCACAATGAAGCATGCATAAACACAAACTAGGCGGGATTAGACCACACTATTTAGTTAATCTCAGTTTACAAAACCCCTTCTTTCTTTGTCTGACAGGCTGCCACAGAAATTCAGCAAATGCAATTTGCAAACCAGACATGAAAACTTTCTGCATTATGGGTTGAGAGACAGTGAAAAATAACTACTCACTTTCATAAGCCCTTTCTTTTTGAGAAACCCTAGGGATATTTTTCAGGGTGAAGGATCTCTATGGTTAATTCTTCAAATCATCATCATGAAGGAGATGAGTACAAGTGTTTCCTTCCAAAATTTAAGCAGCACAACCTCCAAAAATCTTGACATGTGCAGCTAAGATTACCAAGAAAGGAGCCTCTCCCTGACTTCCACCCTCCAGCTCAACCCTCTCTCCCTATGTTTAAAAGGTTTGTATTTTTGGATCCAATAATAATAATACTGATAGGACTTAAACAAAAGTACTTTGAATTCTAAGAGGAGAAACGAAAGATGGTTTTCTATAGTGAGTTTGCATAACTGGACATTTCTTAAATAGTTGGTGGGCAGTTGGAAATAAAAATGGTTTAACAGAGAAAAGTTCCTACAAGAGATGTGAGCACAAAGCCAACAAAAGACTTAAAGGATGAGCATTTCTAAGATAGTGTCACAATTACCTGATGTCATAAGCACTTGCTTTATAGGAAATCCACTATGATAGAAACATTTGTGTGTATATGTGGGATGACAAACATTTCATTTCATTTCTGTATTTAGATTAAAGGATGCTCTGAGAGGTTTTTTCTGCAACCATTAGGCCTGTGACTCTGCAGACTGCTGTTTGAATGTTGCAAAAGATTCTGTTTGCTTTGGTCAAAGATCAGATACACACTCCAGTGTTCACATTTTCTGCTCTACCAAGTTGGAACAATCTGAAGTTGCTTTTAGAGTCCAAATGTGTTAGACTCATCCAGAGCTCTTTCAGTGTGTTATAAATTACAGAATTTAGTTTGTCACAGAACAAAACTTTATTTCAGTGAAAGTAGTGACTATCATGGATGTGTTTTATGAGAAGCTAATCTGTTGTAGACCAAAGAGAAACTAAAACTAGCAAAGGGTGGCAGTGGTGGTAGCGAGGTGGTATGTGTGTGGCTGGTATAAGTAGGAAAGAGAACCACATCATGTGGTAGGCTGTAATTACTGTAATACTCTCTAGCCTTAGGATTCATCTTCTTCTCATCCAGAGAACAGCAGTGTTAGGTTATTTTTGAAATATAAGGTCAAAAATTTTTTTTAAATCATATTTTAATTTCTAGAGTTTATACCTGGTTATGAGTTCACTGCTAAGCATCATAGTGATAAAACATTATTCATTAGTGTTTAAATCTCCATCCTGGTCTAATATACATTTATAAAAAAAAAAAGACTGACTCATCTTTGGCTTGTTTGAATTTTCTGACTAGAAGTAGTTCTCTCTATTGAGGTAGTAGTTTTTAGATAATAGTGTGAACACATATTCTTGAAGCATCTGAGTAAGGAGTGTTTAGACAGAAATTGTAGAGATCAGTCTGCTAACATGGTTTTAAATGCAAACCCAAGTAACAATCCAAAATGAGCTGTCTGCCAATATCATATTTCATAAGAAATCTTGGCATCTTTAACAAATGATATATTTATTGATTCAATCTCCTTGGTAACTACTTGGTCCATGAACAAGTGCTTTTCTATATCTAGGACAGCTATGATGGCACTCATCATAAAAGTATTAAATATTTGATTTGATTTTAAATAATAAAGGTTGTGTTTCAAATCTGCTTCTGATAATAAAAAGAAAATCCTAATAGGAAAAAATTTGACATAGATTTTATTCTAAATCACTCTTTGGACAAATTACTTTTGTTAGACCAAACAAAGGTGTAAAAGTTGGCAGTTACAAAGAATGCAATTTTTCGATTGTGTATCCTGCATGCCTCCTGTTCTATGTGCTATCATCCTACATACTCCATATGGGACCATTGCCTTCCAAGAACTGGAGAGCATTTCCACAGCTGTCCCTCCCTGAAGATTGGTCCTAATTTGATCTATTACACGATGAACCCAGGAAATTATAGAATAAGCTCACTATCCTGTTTTTGTTCTAATGCTGTTTCACAAACCTCTATCTTTTTACATTTCTCTCTTTCTTGAAGAAATTGACCCTATTATCTCTGGTTCTTTATAATAGTTTGTCTTAGTCCTTTACTCTTTATTTCTCTTCTTCTCTGCCCTTCTCCTAGAATTTTTTCCCTTACGTTCTCTCTTTCCCCCCTGCTAAATTATTTGTCTACTTCTTTACTCTCTCATTTTCTCTTATATTACTTATGCAACTCAGTTTTTTTTTTTTTTGCATCCTATAGTTAAAACCAAATTTAGAGTACTTTCATATTTTGCATTAAATTGTATGGAATATACCTGTGGAAAGCTATAGCCTGTTCAGTGGAGCCTTATCCTATTGCATTAAATTGTAATTCTGAGTGCTCTACATCTTCACCATTCCATTTTATACTCTTACGGTCTTACTTGTTTTCATATTTGTTTTTGTATTCTCCTGAGCCCAACACTAAGAAAATGCCCTATAATTCTTTGTTGAATGTTGAATAAGTTAACTTCTTTAACCTGTTTTTGCCAGACATAAAAATAAACTAATCACCTCTGTAACCCTAGCACATAACATGATGTCTGGTATATAGTAGGCATCCAATATAGCTCTATTTAATGAATAAATAATCAAAGGCTAAGATTATACCTAAAACCTATTTTAACACATTTGTGCTAATGTACCCATGTTCAGAAATTGGTTTACTCACAGAGTATTCAGGACTTGATGGGCCAGTCGGAATTTCATTCACTTTCTAAGGCTTCATCACCCATATTTTAGATCAACATTTCTTCTGACTATCTCTCTGCATTTATTTCTACTTTTTTTTTCTTTCTGTAGTTAAGACCACAAAAAATCTTGGCTTGCAGCAAATATACATTTCCATGGAAACCAGGCCAAAAGCAGTAGAAAAAGTGGCATTGCATATAAAATATCTCTTGGCTGCTGAATTTCAGACCATTGCCTGATTTCCTTTAGTTTTGCCTTGAGTTCTTTAATTCAATGTGAACACACAGAGCAGAACTTTTTAAATTAAAAACTTAAAAAAAAAAACATGTTGTGTTTGTTGATTTGAAACTGTACTTATTAACATACAAAAACTTTTAGGGTGTGGAATAATAGCATTAGTGAATGAGGTTTGTGTTTCAATGTTATTTTTATGAAAGCCTCATCTTTACTAGGTTAAGTGTGTTTGTTGTAAATTTAAACTGCTCACTGACAGATGAAGACATTATTTGTTTATAGAATTAGAATGATGTTTTTCTCTGTGTAAAGTATATGGAAAGTGTGATGGGATATAATTAAGGGGAAGTAACAAATGGTTATATCAGCAATTGCAAAAGAAGTTCAAGAATATGAATTTCTGAGATATAAAACTGTAGGTCTGACAATTGGCAGTACATGACCAAGTGATCAGGAAGGTGACTCCCAGGTGAGCATGAGACGAGGGCCACTTTGTGTACCTGAGACATGTGCAGTTGCACAGGGCCCTGTGCTCAGAAGAGTCCATGCTTTGTTTAATGCTCTACTGTTGCTGTCTTGACATTCTCAAAAATTTTTGAACAAGGGGTTCTTCATTTTCATTTTGCAGTGAGCCCTGCAAATTATCTAGCTGGTACTGCATGAGACTTAGCCTTCATACCACCTTCAAAGTTAAGGGAGACTACTTGGATTTTTCCTAATCATATTAAGAACATAAGGTTCAAAAAGGGTGAGTAGAAATATCAGTGATGAGTAGCCTTTCATCTGAGACCCTCTAAATGTACTATAAATATATTTTGTTCTTTCAACCCACCCTGGCCACCATTGGTTGAGAGCAACCCATTTCTTGGGAAGTAAGAAGCAATTTATATAGTGATAAGGAAAAGTTTACCTTAAAACCAACTTGTATGTTGAAATATGCATTCCTTTTAACTTAATAATTTTACTCCTAGGACAGAGAGTACAAAGCGCTATGTACAAGCAAGTTCATTACAATGTTATTTATGATAGTAAATAATTGGAAATGAACTAAATGTCTAACATAGGTAATTACTTAGCTAAATTATACTCCACTTGATGTCATATCAGGCAGCCATTAAAATGACATTATAGATGTATACCACTAAATATTAAAAATCATATTACAATCTACTATGTATAGTAGGAGCCACTTAAAAAAATCTGTGCATAGATAGAAAGTTTATGAAGTTGTCCAACACAATGTAGTTATCTCTGAGTGGTAGGATAATAGATTCTTTTTTAGCATATTAGTATTATCAAAATTTTTTAGAATAAGTTTTTAGAGAAAAATATTAGTTATGAACAATCAGAAAAGCAAACAAGAAACAATCAACCATGCTAAGCCTTGCTTCCATGCTCAAGAAAACTATATGACTTTTTATTATTTTCTTTTACAAACTTTAAGCATTGAAGAAACAACCGTGTGTAAAAGAAAGTTTCAATGAGATAATATTTTCTACCCATTAAAGATATAATAATCTTCATTTTCTTCTGGCTAGTCAGCTATATTTTAATGTTCTTTGGCCTTCCTCTGAAACTTCTCCAGAAGCTGTGGCAGGTGCAGAATGAATCAGCTCAGCTGTTACTGAATAAAGGTGTGAGAGAAGTGGCAAAGCCCCCATCTGTGAACTGCATTGCTTGCCAGTTTGATAAAAAAAGATTCCGGACCAGATCTTTATTCTCTGTTCTTAGACTTGGCTCCCTCACAACCAAGGAGGAAGAAAAGTTATTGTATATACCAGAAGGTTTATGTTCCTTTAATTTCTCCTACCAACACAGGCTATTGTGATAGATACAGTCTACTTAACTCTGAACTTCACTTTAGAAGGCAGCCACAAGGTTGAAATCTTGTAATATCATCTTGTCTGTACTTATATGCATGTGTTCCCTCCTATTAGATCTTTATGTCGTAGGTCAATTACAGCTTAATATGATAGACTGGCAGGAGCTCAAACTTGTTTCACGGTGGGAAAATTTCATTTCCTTGGGTGTTGATGGAGGAGAATTATGGTTCTTTGTTTCTACCTGAAATTTCTGCCAATTTTATGGAGTACTACATGCTAATATATAGTATCATATATTATAGCTTTTTCTACAGCAATAGCAACACCTGTTTGAGCCAGGGATTAGTTAACAAGTTGGGCAAGTCTATTTGCCCTAACCTGTTTGCTTTTTGATAGAATCTTAATGATAACTGGATCTGTTAAAGTTTATTGTAAAATATTTATAACTAAGGACCCTTTCTCTTTTCATTCAGTCTATATAGTTTTTTCTTTTAATGACAGGTGTTCTAAAGAAATCTATTAAAAATAAATGATGAAAATTATATTTTAATATTGCAATTAGCAATGTATTTTAATGCTAGTGTGTTTGGACTCCAGTTTAGATTTAAATAAATGCACAAGTTTGAAATAAATGCTTTATAGATGGGATGAAAAAATCAGTTATTTTTCATTTTCTTGATCTCCAAAGATGAGTAATGCAAATATATACATATATATTTTTAATGTTTTAAATTAAAAGAGCATAGCATTTTAAAGATGAATGTCCACTAGTCATTTTTTAAGGGAAATATACCTTCATTTATCATAACTTTGATTTGAATTGTAGTCGGTTAAACTGTGTTTTGATTTAGAAAGTACCTACACTTGTTCCTTGAATGTAACAAAATATAAATTGAGGAAGCATTATTAGCCAAATCTCCTTGTTTTTATTTCTTCCTGGCAGGAGAAGTTGAAGGGAAAGTTGTGCCAGAAGATGTCAGTTATGGAGAACATCTAGGAGATGGGGTGAGAGAAGCAACAGGAAGATGGCAGAAACGTCAGACAGACACACTGACAACAAGCCCAGGCATGCGTGCACGTGTGAGAATGTGTCTACATACACATACGGGAATAGAGCTTCCCACTCAAAGATACTGTTACTGAGGTTCCCCATTTCAGTTTGTAGGTGTGTCCTCATATAAATGTAGTCTTAGTAATAATGGCCACTGTTATTTGAGACAGGGGGATTTGTTTCTGTTTAGAACTCTGCCTTTTGAGACCTGAAGTCTAATGTAGGAAACACCATTCTTCTGATTGTTTTTCGTCAGGCTAGCCAAAGCCATTTCCCAGTATTTACATTTAGTTTAGATTGCTTGACATAACAACATAACCTGCCTTCTGGTTGATGCTTTCATAGGTTTACTCTAGATCAGTGCTTCTCAAATTTTTAAAGTTGTTGGAAGTCTTGTCTTCAGGGCCAAAGGTTCTCCCTGGGAATGTCAATGCTGCCAGTCTGTGGACGACACTTTGAGCAGCCAGAATCAGTTTCTTTTACTTTAAGTCACAACTCAAGAGATGTTTTGTTATCTTGTTAATGTTATTTTCAACTTCTTATAGGTTTGGGATGTGAGAAAGATAAGCCTTGGCTGTACCTAGTCATCTAATGCTCAAAACATTTCATTATTTTGCTCAAAACATAGGCAGAGAAACTAATTTTAATCTGCACTGTGTTATTTGCTGAGTGCCGCTGGTTCAGAACTGTAATATTTGTAGGACTCTTTAAGCCTCCCTTGGATCTGTCCTCTACACCAAAGCATAGGCTTCTTTCAAAGTACGCTGGTCTTTGTGCATAGCCTTCTGGTTACCTTGTTAATGAGACCATATTTGACCACTACTCATTTTTTTAAGAGAAATTCACCTTAATTTAATATAACTTTGAATTAAACTCTGTTTTCATTTGGAAAATACCTATGCTCTTTCTTGACCGTAACAAAGTTGAAATTGTTTCCTTAAAGAAATAAAATGTCAATTAAAATAGTATATTTTAGCCAAGTATCCTTTTGTCTAATTCTTGTCAGAAAAGTTGAAGGCCTCACGCCATATAATTTAATGTGAACTTTCACATCTATGATTAATATCAGTGGTGGACATGATGTTGTTTGTCTAATGTAGTTCCTTCATCCTTGAGAATTTATTCTCTCCATTTTCAATCAAGGGATTCTGTAGGCCTTCTTTTCATGGTACTCTGCCTTGTATCTACAAGGGTGAACATGTTACAAATTGTATTGCTGCATTCTCCCGTCTAAAATGATTTAGTCCAAAGAAGGGTAAGTGACCCACACTGAGCCAATCAGAGGCTTCCTGGGAATTATTCTGTCAGGAGCTGTATATGAAGGTGCATTGTATCTGGGTTGTGGAGCTGGTAGCAGATGAATGAGAGGGCAAGATAATATTGATTCTGGTGGGAAAGAATAAAACCTCTCAAAGACAAGAAGAGATGACAGATGGGTAGCAATAGAAGGGACAAGGCAAAAGGAATGAGTTATTAGTTCTAGTCATTGAAGATCTCAGAATTGTCTTCATTCCCGTTGGCTCTTCTTTCAAATCTCTGAGCTTCTCATATCTCATGAGCCACTAAATTCCTTTTTGTAAAGACAGTTTGGGTATTCAAACTGTTATAACTAAATGAAGCCTGTTAAATATCTAACACACATTTCTTTAGAACAGTAATGCGAAGAGGTATTATACTAAGGCTGCTGTATCTCATGGCCATCCTGTAGTCAGTGTGTGCAAACTCAATTTGCAAATAAGGATCAGAATTAATGAAGAACAACTGAAACATGTCTTTGTTTGCCAGCAAGTGCATTACATTAGTAAGTGATACCAAAGGGCTGAAAAATAAAATGTAATAATTACAGTCATTGTCACAATGAATTCGACTGAAGATGAACATTTGAATACAAAGTACATAAAATTAACATTAAGCTTAAACTAAAGAAATTGATTAAAGAAATAGAAAAAGAAATCTGCCTGGCTCAAAAAGCAAATGAGGTCAGACCATTGTCAGATTTGAAAATAGAAAAAGAAAAAAGCAGCTTAGAACAATTTTAATAGAAAAAAAAGGATTGTTAGTGAGTGATGACTTGCCTCAAAGAAGAAAAAGAAGAAAAAATAAAAGAGTTTATTTTACTGTCAGTAATACATGCATCAGAACATTTACTAATAGTATCTAGGGATCTCAGTGAGGACGAGGAAAAGGGGAAGCAACAGTCTATAACTGGGAGTAGATCTCTAAATCACCTGGAGGGCTTTTCAAACTGCACATGCTGCTCTCCCTTTTTGGAGCTCCTCATCTGCTTTTTCACGGAGTATATATTTTTTCTCCATGCCAAATCCCACTCTCAGGTGAGAATCTCAATAGGAGAACAATAGTTATTGATGGGAATGTATAATGTTTCTCAGATGTATAGAACTTTAATGAAGGCTAATAACTACTAATTCAGACTGAATAAAAGAGCTGGTTCTTATTTAATAAAAAATGAAATGATTTATATGAAAATTAAAGCATATATAATGCAAACAAAGACAAGATGTCTCCATTGTTTATAAAAAGGCTACAAGTATGATGAAAGGGAATAGCTGCCCATGAAAGAATCAAAAAGCAATGGAAAGAAAGTGGCTGACACATTAAGAATCTATGATGCACTCTATAGGATACATTATATCTGTTACCTATTAGATCATAAAATATGAGGTAGGTACAGTAGATCCTCAAATAACACCATTTTGTTCAATGTTGTTTCATTATAATGTTGATGAGATGTCATAGGAACTTAACTCTTGTTTATAACAGTTGTTTATATCAAAGTCTATGATAAAATTGCTTACATTGTATGTCATTTTGCTTAAAGTCTCAGAATCTGTCTATGACATTAAGTAAGGACTTCCTGTATTATTGTAGGTATTTAACAGGTAAAATGGTGATTGAAAGAAGCAACTTGTTCAAAATCACACAGTTGTTATGTAATAGAGGCTGGACTCAAATATATTATTGTCTGTTCCCAAGCCAATGAACCTTCTAATCTTCCATGGATGAGTAACAAATAGCTATTGATTGCCCATATATATAAAGAACTGGTAGGAGAAGACTAATATAGAAAATTTACAAAGCAGTTCAAGAGTTTGACCTAAATGGATACAATATGCTTTCAATAGAAAGGAATTTATAACATAGTTCAAGTGTTTTCAGCAGAGATGAAGACAATATGCAGGCCATAGAATCAACTCATGTTTATGTGCCCCCTGCTCCCTACCACCTTTCCGACCTCGGATGACTTATATATAGGAAATTATTGAGGAAAACTTCCTGGAGCAGTAAGGAAAAAGATGAAAGCATCAATTTTAGAGCATGTAGCAATTCTATAAAGTGTGGTTTAATATTTGTATGACCTCTTGCATGCTATTCAAAAGTGTACTTGGTAAGACGAGTGAAGATATCTTATGAGGATTGTCCTTTGAAGACAGAGCATGCTCAAGTTTCCTTGCTATATCCTAAAGTATGGATAAAGTGAAAAATAGATGTGTCTCAAAAGATTTAAATTTTATTGGATATAATTTTCTGCATAAAGCATCATGACCAATTTAATCTTGTGAGACAGACTTAATAGTTAAAAAAAACAAAAACAACCCAGTACTATTGCAGAGTCAGGAGACTTGTGGTTTGGCTCTTCAATGACTGAATGACTGACAAAATCAATATTATCTGTATCATTATTGGTAAAATCAAAGGTTTTACTAGGTCAATTCTAAGTTTTATTCTATTTAGAATCTCTACTGCATTATGAGTCTAAAATATTGATAATCTTTTCACATCGAACTTCTTTATTAGGTTGCAAAGTCTGAAACAAGTCAATTATTTCAAATGCTTGATGTATTTCTGGTTAAGTATATTGGATTTTCAATTATGATAACAAAATGACTAATAGAGCTTCTACTTCTCTATCTCAGTCTCAGATTCTTCTTTTCCATCATTAAATATTGGAGATCTTCATGGTTGTTTTCCTAGATGCTATGCTCTTCTCACTCTATACTTCCTCCCTGATATCTCACTTTTGGGCATGTGTGGTAAGGAGAAGTCCAAGACGGCTCCCAAGATTCCTACCTCCTGGTATTTACATGCTCTAGATTCCTTACCTTTTAGTGTAGGTGGGACTTAGGAACGTGATGGGAGGATTCCACTCCTGTGATTAAATTATGCAAAATGGTAAAGACAAAAGGATTTGCAGATATAATTTAGGTCCCTAATAAATTGGCTTTTGTTAATCAAGAGTGATATTATCCTGGTCAGGCCTGATCAAATCAGGTAGGCCCTCTAAAAGAGAGTCTAGAGATTCAAATTGAGAGAGATTTGAAAAGAGAGAGATTGGAATCTCTCTTCTTGACCTTGTTGAAACAAACTGCCATGTTTTGGTGAGAGTCACATGGTGGGCAATGGTGGGCCGCCTCTAGGAGCAGAAGGCCTTAGTCCTATGATTGCAGTTGCAAAGAACTAAATTCTGCCAAAAACCAAGGAGTTTAGAAGAGGATCCCTAACCACAGATTAGATTGTAGTCCTGGATGACACTTTGCAGCCTGAGCAGGAAACCCAGTTTATCCCTGCCTGGACTCCTGACTCATGGAAACTGACATAATAGGTAACTATTGTTTTAAGCTGCTAAATTGTCATAATTTGTGATGCAGCAATAGAAAATTAATACAACATGACTTTAATTATCACCACATGACTCATAAATTTATCTTCAGCAAGACCTTCTTGTACATATCCAACTGTCTATTTGACATCTTCTCTTTTCTATCTCAAAGGTACTTCAATTTCAGGGTCTTCAGTAACAGACTCATGTTCATTACTCTCAAGCCAAGTTCAGTGAGCAGAATCTGTCAAGTTGGGAAGGAAAAAATCTAGGAATTGTTTTTGACACATTTTTCAGCTTTGTCTTTTACATAACAATCCATCAGCAATTTCAGTTTATTTTACTGCTTTCTGACTAGTTTAGTTTGGTTCACTCATCATCTACTCCACCCCCATTAAGTATGACTTCTCTGTACTTTCAAGGGTGAAACGCTAAAGAGAAAATTTTCTTTCTTTTCTTTTTTTTTTAGCTAAGATTTCTTGTGAGACTGAGGTTTTATGAGACAGATGCAGTTATATGAATTCTGTAACATGTGAGCAGTGAGAGGTGGCAGTCATGTATCAGGTGCTCAGACCGTCTAGGAAGCCCAGTTGTGGAGATTATTGGCTCTTCTGGGGCAGCTATGGCAGCAGTTGTACTGTCTGGTTCTCGGCATCTTGAGGGCCATGAGGTTTCCACTAGAACAGTCCATCTTGTGTGGTTATTTCCCTATGTTGCATTGTTTCTGACTGTGGAGAATTCCATCTTGGTGCTTTGATTCTAAAAATTCTATAAGCTACTTAATACCTAGAGATCTATCTCCTTTTACTTATATTAGATTAGGTGGATGGATATATTTGTAAAAAGTCAACTAATCTACCTTTTTTCTTCATCTCTGCAACCACCATCACCATGATCCTCTTATAAGCTGTCATCTATTGCATTGACTCTAACTATAGCCTCTTAGCAAGTTAACCTCTGTATCTACCATGGCTTCTCATAACCCTTTATAATGCACTTTCTACTCTTCAGTCTGAATGTTCTTTTCACGATATCATCCTCACTCACTTAAAATATTCAATATCTCCCCATTACTCTTTATATGAAGACCAAAATCTTTACTAGCCCGTAATTTTGGCCCCTACGTAACTCTCTATTTTAATCTTGTACTTCTTTTTCCCTTAGTCATGACTCCAGCTGGAAACTTTTAGTGTCTCATAGGCACCATGTACCTTACCATCATGAGTCTTTGCACACAAGTTCCTTCCACAGGAAAGTACTTTTCCTCAGCATCA